GGTCGGGCTACAACGAGTGTCGCATGTCCATGTGTGTGGATGATGAGTGGGGATATGTCTGCTTTTTATCAGCAATAGCTAATTGCATGACGGCGTGAAGGTGTTGTGCGTGAGTGCATCGGTATGGTGGCTGGCCGAACCGTGTCTATGCATGTGTCACGCAGACCAGTGGACAGATGGGCGGACGGTGAATGGATTGACAGATGGGTGGGTGTCAACACAGCATCTGAAATCAGTCAGCCAAGGATCCATGCACTCAGCTGGACTCATCTGACTCTTTGAGCTCGAGCTATCGTCATATGGTTGACGTGTGTAAAAGGGGAGGATCGGCACTGCACCTTTACATACACACACACACACAGAGGCAGTCAGTCTGTCTGTCCATTATACACGCAAAGAGAACACACCTCTCATTGATAAAGGTCACCAAACTGTCATCTCTGCGCAGCCGCCTATCGCAGCTGGAGACCAAGTCTTTTCTTCTTCACGTTACCATAATAGGAACAGATGGATGTGTGTATGCGCCTAAGGCCTTCAGGTGACCGAGTCAGTCACAAAAGGCGGCCGAAGTGGCGCATGTACTTGGTATACCACGCTACACTACGCTACACTGCACTACGTACTACATGCCGCGCAACACGACACCACACAGCACACGGACGCGTCCATTACACATCGCGTCTACGGCTAGATTCACGCGCATAGCCTCTCCCTCACTCACTCACTCACTCACAGCACGAAAGAGGACAGTGCAAACCGCCACACAAACAATACTCTCGACTGCGGCACTTCTGGCTGATTAGATGAGACCCCATCGTCAATCAGTTGCCGAATGTGACTGCCACTCGATGAGACCGCTTCTGGCCAATAGATCACCATCAATCATCATTCTCGGCAGCCATGGCGACCAAGGCGTCATAGACGGCCTCGGCCGACACCGACAATGCCACGCTGTCGTTGCCCTCATGGTCCGTGCTGAGCCGATGCCAATCGACTCGCGTGAGGTGGCTGGGGGGCGTCAGGGCGGCCGTGTGGGAGTCGACCGGCTGTAATTGGGTCGAGCCAACGGGCGACGCAGCGCCACCCATCGGCATGTCCTCTGCTGCATGGCCAGATGGCGTCTCGACCACGGTGGGCGCGAGGCTCGCGAGGACCTCCGGGATGTCCTCCTGCATCCAACGAACAACACAGAAGAGCATAGCACACTCACACATACACTGGCCTATATCGCTCTCACCGACCGGTGGGCTGCCCTTCTCGATGAGTGTTCGTTTGGCCTTGCGGAACGCCTCATAGAGCCCCCGCCAGCCGCCGGTGTGCTGCCGATGGTGTGTCGACGCCTCGATGTCGGCCTTCTCTAAATCACTGCCGTCGGCCGTGTGGCTGAGGGCCACCTGGTGCGTCTGCTCTCTGCTGACAAGCTCGTCCACCACATAGCACAAGTTTGCCTGCAGGTCCTGCAATGTGATGCCCTCAGACACGTCCGAGAGCTCCGACTGCCCATTCGACGTCTTGTCGGCCTCCAATCGAGTCGACACTGCAAACATCACCATCTCGTGTGTGCGTGTGTCATACATATCGTGATCAAGACAGTCAGCTGACCCTTGTCGGAGTGCTGGTTGTGGAATACATTGGAGAGGTCGGCAGTCCGCATGTCCCGCAATTTCTGCCCAGCCAAACAAAGACACATGCAGAAAAGGATACATACGCACCGCGGACAGGAGCACTTGGATCCTCCCTTGTTGTGTTGCTTACGGTGGCGCTGCTGTCGTCGGGTTTGGGCAGATGGACGACCACCTCGCCTTGTCGACGGCTGCGCGCCCCTACTCGGCTTTGCCGCAGGCTCTGCACCAGGAAGGCATGGCTCCACAGAAACTCGTTGCTGACCAACCAAACCACGCGACACACACAAACACAGGAGGTATTGATGTCTGTGTGTCCTTTGTGTGTGTGCTTACAAGTCGCCGGGCACGTGTGTGACTTTGAGTCTCTCAATGGCGTCCTTCACGGCGGCTGACGTCAGGTCCATGGCCGCCACAACACGATTCACCGGCCGCCCGACAAAGGGACGGCACCGCACTGATGTAGCAGCGGGGGGCCCATCGCCAGAGAGGGCGGCGCTGGACCAGTCATAGAAGACCTTTGGCGAGACGCGCCGTTTCTCCTCCTCTCTGTGGATCAGCCACGACACTAACAGCCCCATCCCACAACCGGACATCACACGAGCTGAATCAAACGACACACGACAACATAAGCAGACAGATGGGACCAAAGATGCTGATTCTGTGCCGTCCATACTGCCCACCGAAAGCCTTGTTGCGGTCGGTGAGTGCCGTGTATCGGTAGCCCACTTGCAGCAGACCATACCGACATATCTGCGCCGCCAGCACGACATAGTGCACCAAGTTGGCCACAATGACTACCACCACGAGGACGATCGTCAGCTCCGGAGAGGTCCCCTTGGGCAGCATGACCACAAATGACATAACGAACAGCGACATTAGCCACACCAGCAGCCCACGCGTCTCCGTCCGATTCAATATGTCCATACTGCCTCGGTCGAACGGCCACACGGTCAGCTGCAGCGCCAGACACACAGCGGCTACCACCGTCCAGCCCAGCAGCTGTTGGCGGGGCTGAGCCGTTGCCTGCTGTGCGATTAACAACACCAAAACACGCCTCATGGCAAGGACAGCGTCCCAGTGGTAGAAGCTGTTGCGATAGCCGGCATACAGAAAGCCGACCCTTCTTCGCATGCGATACTTCTGCAGGCCCTCTCTATGCCGCCACAGAAACGCCACGCCACACACCACTGGGGCGAATGTCCACAGCAGTAGACCAGCCACGGCAATCCACAGAGAAGGGGCGTGCTCGGCCGATCGACAGATGACATGAGAGTCGAGGTCCATCCGGGGCCGCATGTCATCCATCGGGTCAGTAGGCAGCAGACTGACACTCTCTCCCGTCGCGATATGTATGACGTCGTCCACATAGGGATACCATCGGCACCGCAGGAGGGCCAGCATGCTCTTGGTGACGGTGGGATGGATGAAAGTAAGAATGACGACCATCATCGTGCCTCGGTTGTCAAGCCACTGCCGCCATCGGCCGTTCTTGTGGGGCTCCGCTAGGGAAGACTGGCAGGAGGGCGGCGTCACTGGCTCGGTTCGTGAGTCCTTCTGGAAGGTGACCGATCGCTGGTGCGGCCCGTGTGCGGCAGGCGTGTCTGTCTTGCCATTGGTCACGGATGGGGGCGCCGACAGGGCTCGGAGGTAGGTGTCGGTGTCCAATGAGGTCGACTCGTCGCTGGCAATGTGCCGTTTCGACTTCAACGCATTACGAACTCGGTCAAATCCACTCGCTGCAAACACGTAACGATCAAGCCAGTAACGATTACAATTCATTGCTTTCTGGAGAACGTGTGTGTATGTGCTCACCGATGAGGGGCGCAATGGTTACCCAGACGATGGGTAGCGCCAGCCAGATGGCATGCCGATACAGCACGCATTTGTCGCCCACATATGGCCTCAGCAGACATTCCCATATCTGGTAGCTCTGAGGGACGCCGCCACTCCATGCGAAGAATGAGCCGACCAGTGAGGATATCTCATCGCCCCAGAGGGACTCGTCGAACACGAGAAAGGCCAAACCACACACATGCACTCACATACGGCAACAACATACAGACGATGGAAGGAGAGTGCACACGTCTGTCTTTCCTCTTACTGCGGTGATGTGTGAGAGTCCGATTTTGATCAGCTGCGAGGGCACCTCAGCGCGCAGGGACGCCGCCGCCCTGAACACAGACACACAGACAGAACGGACACAGATGTCCATTGAATGTATGAGAGACACACGGCTACTTGCTGACCTTTCCGCAAGTGCGGTGAGTACGAAGATGGCCATCAGAGTGGAGAGAACGAGCAGGACGTTGACAACAACGATCTGCCACAGCGAGGCACATTGGGTGCACGGCTGCTGGGGGGTTTGGCGTGAGAATCCTTCTTTGCACCGGTTGCACACGAAACCCTCATGCCCATCCTGTGACAAGTGGACAAAACGGATATACATGAAACGCGGATGCAAAGTCAGGCTCTCACCGAGCATATGTTCAGTCCATTCCTCTTGCTGGTGCCTTTGCAGGACGACGGCAACGGGCAGCGCATCACTATAGGCAGCAAAGTCATACCGCCACCATATCTGTAAAACACAAGCACCACACCAAAATCCCGCTCACTTCCCTTTTCTTCGGCACTCTCATTTCATTCTTACGTTGTCACTTCTTGAGTGGCGTTGTCGGATGAGCCATATGATCGCAGCTTGACAGTGAGCTGGAAGAAGCCCGGCAGTACACTCGCATTGTAGTTGACAGGCACCGTACAATCAACACCCGACAAACAGTCCTGACAAATCCACCTGCCGCGACTGTCGCCACTGCCGCTCTTGCGCACTCCAGCAGACCCCGCTGTGCACGGCTCGCATGGCTCGTTGCCTCGCTTCTCGTAGCCAAGGCGGCAGTAACAGGCAGTTGAGCCCTCATCAGAACCTGCCGACAGACACATATAGTTGGAAGGCGTGTTAATGCAGTGTTCGTTTTCCTGCTGACCTGCATCATCGGGGCATGGTTTGCACGATTGTGTGCCAACTTGTCTGTTGCTGTATGTGCCAGGGGGGCACTTAGTGCAGTTGATGCCGGTGCCCTCGTAGCCGGGCAGGCAGCGACACAGCGCATCTGAGTCGAAGCTGTAGTCGACCTATATGTAGGCGAAGAGCAGAGTAAATGCATCGGCCTGCGTCTTTAGCTTGGTTGATCCTGACCTCTAGTTGGCCGAGTACAGCGCATATCTCCGTGCACTCAAAACGCTGCTCACCGTCCAAAGTACGTGGCGAATATCCTGCACCAGCCAGACAGAGGGCCCACGCGTGAATGTGAATGTATCTTTGTGATTTTATCTGTTTACCCTGAGGATCGGGCACGAGTGACGCGACAAAGCCAAAGATAGGGCTTAGCGGGTCGTTGTCAAACACACGGCACCGATCAGATCCTGTTGTTTGACCTATATACCTGTTTCGACGTATATCCTGACATTTCTGAAAATGTAAGCACACATTCAAAGACACACGCCAAAAGACAAACAGGAGAATACATAGATCACAACGGCCGCCATATGTGCGCTTCACTTGTACCTCGATCGGTGTGAGGCTGATGCATGCTGGAATCTGCCCACTTTTTAGGTCCGGGTTCTGTGTCAATCTTATAAAGAAAGACCAGAAGAACTGACGTAAGCTCTGTATTCTCTTCAACGAGTTGTTGCCGAAGTCGACAGAAACTAGCGCCCTGTCCCCGAGGCGCCTCATGTCAATGGTGGTGATATTGTTGTGCTGGAAGCGCATTTGTTCCAGTATCGGCATTGCCTGTATAGGCGAGAACACTGGCAGGTCTGGCATCTGTATAGTATAGACAATGAGGGTGTGCTTATAAGTATTTCTACGTTTGAGCGGCTGTGTGTGTGTACCAGGAAGGATTGGACTGCCATGAACTGCTCCAAAACCTCACGGTTGAATACAAAGAATGCCTCACAGCGTATCTCGCCGTAGAGGTCACAATTCGATGCATCCAGCGTCGTCAAACTGTCATACACGTGAGAGGCAGGGCAGAAACACATCCTGCAATCAATGATGCTCACTTACTTGCTCTGCCATTTGAGGCGCATAAAAAACTCGGTCGCGTCGACATTGATAGGATTGTTGGACACATTCAGCTCGCGCAGGCTGCCCCAGTCGGGCGGGGGCAGGGAGAGGCTTGAATTAAGCATATCGATCACCAGACCCGACACATTTGAGATGAGAAAGCCGCTCAACGCTGTCCTCAGCCCTATCAGTTCATCACATACACATACAAGGAACACATCCATGCGAATGTGTAGTGTCCCACCTTCATTTATGAAGTCCACAGAGCAGAGGCCTTGCCGTGTGAAGCCCGATTTAGGCCACCGACTAATGTGGTTGTTGGCGAGATTGAGATACGCTAAGTTGGGCATGAAGTGGAAAATCTTCGGTATGGCCTCTAGCAGGTTGTCTTGCAAATGCAACCAACGCAACCTTACACCCAAATGCACTCTTTGATTTGTCAGTCTACGGCACATATGTAAACATCTCACTAACCAATGGGGAATATCACCGGTGAATCTCGTAATGAGGTTGTTGCTGAGCGAGGCGTTCGTCAGGTTGGGGAAGAAAGACAGATCGATGGACTCTTTCACACGATTAAATGACAGATCCAACAACTCAATGCTCTCATACTCTGCATTGTCCATCCAACCGATCAGTCTGACGAGTGACAAGCGCAGTCATTAGTTGCACAGCATATGTGAAGGATACAGTGCTCCTCACCGGTTGTGAGATGCATAGAGTTCGATGAGATTCTGCCAAGTTGAGGGGCCAGTGGGTAAAGCACCGTTAAACTGTAACGTAAGAATATGTATAAATTCCGATTCACATTATACATCATCGTAGTCACCAAATTGTCATCAACTGATAGTCGTCGGAGCGATGTGAGCTTACTTAGCAGCTCCAGAGTGCCGCGAAAACTGTTGCCTCTCAAACTGAGTTCCTCAATCGAGTGCCACCCCTTCAGCGTATCCGGGAGGAGGCCAGAAAGCTATGCATACCAGCATGGACGGACAGAATAATACGTAAGATATAATATCAAGTGTCTACATCGGCACATACCTGATTGCCAGTAAGATTCAGCATGCGCAGTTTGACCAGCTGCCCCAGTTCTAATGGGAGGGAGCCGGTGAGGCCTGAGAATTCTGCAATCAATCGCGTCAAGTTGCCCGCATTTCCAAGGGAGGGCGGCAATGGACCGGAAAACTGAGAAAAAATACGCACAGCCACATAGCAGTAGTGGGTATGTGTTCCATTATTTTCTCTTGCATTTCTCTTGGTAATGTTGTTGTAAGAGATATTAAGGCTATCCAAGCCGTCCATCTCGGTGCCGAGTCCGTGTGGCAACGGGCCACTGAACGCATTGTCACTCACATCTAGCATCCGCAGCCGCCTCAGCTGTGCCAATGATTTAGGCAGCTCCCCATGCAGCTCATTTCTTCTCACATCCAGTTCGCTCAATCGAGAGAGGGCGTCCAAATCGTCAGGCAGAGAACCCGTCAGGCCGATTCCGTTGAGCTTCAGTCGGGTCAGATTGCGGCAAGACGTCAAAGTCGCCGGAAACGGCCCTTCCATTTGCTTGTTATTCTGGATGTCTAAAATGCGAAGGCGCTGAAGGCTGCCGATGTCTTCAGGTATGGCCCCTGATAGGTCTGTTTGGCTGAGTGATAGAGCCTCGAGGCGTGATAGGTTGGTTAGGAAGGGAGGAATGGGACCCCTTAGTGAATTCGCGCCCGAAATGTATAGGCCCTTCAGATAAGGCAGGTCGCCAATTGTACTTGGAATCGTGCTGGATTCCTGAAAGAAATATACAGATGAGCATGTGTGTGTGTGTGTGTGTGTGTGTGTCAATGATGAATCAATTCTAAAAATCAGCTTACCATTACTGCCCATATGGATATGCGCAGAGAGGTCATTTTGGCGATATCATCATGTAAGCCCCCCTCCACGGGCCCAATGAAACCCGCTGCATGACGCAGCCGATAAAACGATTCCGAAAAAGAAAAGACCGGAGGCCTGCGGGGGCCGGAACTGAGGGGGATGAGACTGTGACTGATAAAGATGATGTAGCCCTCGCTCAGCCGCACACATGTGATGAAGGGCACGATGCACAGGTTGTCATCGAAGATGGACTTGGTCTCATTGTCCGCCAATCCAGACTCGTAATACCAATCGAACAGAGCCGCCGCATCCTCCTGACATGCATCGCACCGCTCCAGCTCCTCCATCTCGGTGTATGGAAGGACGTTGTCGCCTCGCAGCACTACTCCGCCTCCGCCATTTGGAACCTCCACGTCAGCCGAGGCGAAGGGGGGTAAGATTGAGAGCCCCCCTTCTATCCCGGGGCCTTCTATGCGGAAGCCAAACGTCTGATTGAAGCCAAACGTCTGATTGGCTCGCTGAAGGCTTCGCTGGAAGGGCGAGGACGCAACCAGCGACGATGAGAGGCAGATAAAGACGAAGGACGGAAGAGTCGCTATGTGATGAAAGGCACTCATCGACTCAAGCATAGCTGCAATCACATTTGAGAGGGAATCTGCGAGCTCAGCAGCGATCTTCCACTTGTTTCATCGACGCCGGAGGTCCCCCCATCTGCTTCGGTTTGTTTGCTTTGCATCTCTGCAGCGATCTCTCATCTATCTCTGTTGGTGGTCTGCTTGATTTGAGGCGCTCGTCGTTCCATCGAGCAGATGACGGTGTCGGCTCTATTCGCCAGGCTGGTCTCTCTTGGTGTCGTCCTCTTCCCTTCCGCTCTCGCCCAGGTCAGCCAATCGTAGAGCCAATCGAAGAGGCACACATCCTGCGTAGCCACCCGGACGTGCATGTGCCTGCATCTCCTTCTCTGGCCTGGCAACAGGTGTCCTCAGAGCTGCCAACGCTTTTGGTGATTGGTAACGCAGGCAAGTCCAAATGCCGTGTTAGCGTGGGGAACTTGGGGCCAGGCAGCGTGAACATCAGCGCCATCGACAGCCTGAATGAGACGCTCTCAACGGCGGTCCCCATCATGGCAGGCGACACATTGACAAGAGTTCTGGAGGTGTCCCTCTCCTCGGGGGAGGTGACATTCATCTTCACAGCCGAGAATGGGACGGAGCTGCTCCGCCAGACACTCACGAGCGACTTCAGCCCTGAAAGTCCAACTGAGCTGGAGCTCGTTGTCGGCGCCCAAATGCTGGAGGCTACGTTTGATGACGACGTGATGCGGCTGGGTGTGCGACGAAACTACGGGCCGTTTGACCTCCTGCTGAACATGAAGTACGAGGGAAACACCGACGGGAGGGAGCTGGGGGGCAATGGGACAGTCATTCGGAGGTACTCTATGTCGGATTGGCTCGGCATTACCTTCACGAAGCATTTGTGGGAAGGGGACAGCTTCTACGCGTCGCTCGCGCCAAAGGACAAGGAGGAGGGCACTGGACCGTTGGTGTTTGTGGCCATGACGAATTGGCGCACTCAGTCTGAGGCACGGCGGGGGCTGAGGGCTGAGAAGAAAGCGGCCATCGACCGCATGTTTGGATTCCGCGGATGACAAGACAGACGGAACAAGGTGCGGATAGAATGAAGAAGAGGAACACAGACTGCCGATGCGCTGTAAACAGTGTTTTGTCTTGCTAATGCTCTTGGCTGCAGAATCTCCGCACCATTCGGTTGTCCATACAAGCGTGAGTGTCACGACACTCATAGTCGAGCAGTGGTAGTCGGGCATGGAATGAGACGAAATGATCGTCTCGTGCTGCTGTTTTGTTATTGTGGTGTTGTGTTTCGTTGGGTCAGTGCGTAATGCATTCACTTGTCGGCTGTCTGTGCAGTGCTTGTAAGGGAGCGACTTTATCTGACTCACTGCTTGGTCCCTGCCCCCTTTTTGTGCAGGGCGGCCAGGTCGTTCCGATAAATGCAACTCACCTTTAAGGAAACGCGAGTTAGCTCAGCGGGCGAATGGGCGAAGCTAGGAATGAGTGAGGTGGAAAGCTAGCTTGATAGGCAGAGAGGCAGGGGGAAGGGCTGGCTGACTGAGTCCATCCATGTCTGCATACCTACCTGTGCGCGGATGTGACGAGTGGATCTGTGGATGGATTGATGAATGACTCATCATGGGAACTGAATGCTGCACACACAGCTTTCGCACACGTCGTATATGTCGTTCATGGTCGTGTGGATGGACGGATGGATGGATGGCTGCGGTATTTTGTAGTTGGTGCTCAGCTCACTCACTTGCCGTCGTTACATGAATGCCACATACACACTGGGAGACGCGCGGCTAAGGCGTATTGCTGTGTATATGTCGATGAGTGGGTGGGTGGGTGGATGGATGGATGCTTTTTATCAATGCTAGCTGATTGTGTGTACGGGACGCTTTGTGAAAATGTCAGTGTGGCGGGCGGAATTGCGTCTACGTCTCACGCAGACCAGTGCATAAAGAGATGGACAGATGGACGGTGAATGGATTCAACGAGTGGGTCATATGCATATCCACACTAGGCTTGCCAGAGGAACACACCGAAACTGTCAGCAATCACCCAACAGACCACCAAACAGTCCACATGACCACCCGCATCCACTGATGCCTCTCTCCGTCCCATACTCGGTGGGTGTCTCTCATTCGCAGCTTACATGCACCCCAACCACTACACAGGCCCCCCTGCATCCCTTTCTCCTCTCTCCACCGCTGAATGATACCCAACACACCAACAGCTTAAAATGCCCCCAATGCACCACGCGATTCCCCCTTTCCGCCTCTCCCTCCCTCCCTCCCTCTCTACTGCAGCAGCCGCTCAGTCGATGCCAAGCGACACCCACTGCCCCCGCTCGTCGATGCGTCCCAGCTGCTGCCACGACAGCTGGCAGTCGTCAATGCCCAAATGCTGATTGAAGCCCTTGACTACGCCCACCAGGTCGTACCGAGCCGCCTCGTCCAGCCGGGCCCTGTGCACCACCTCACGCAGCCCCAGACGGCCACGTGTGTGCACCACCTCATTTGGGCGGCTGTCGACCCTGATGGTGAAGCACGGCAGCGGCACCCGCACCATCTCGCCGCCGACATCGGCCATGAGGCCCGCCACCTCCCTGTTGCTGCTGGCCGCAAACACAGCTGACTCGACGAAGTGCTGCGCTGCAGCCGTCACGCGACGGGCCAGTGTGCTGTTGCGGATGCCGATGCTGCCGCTGATGGCCTCATTGTCTGCGTCTCGGTCGAAGCACATGGCGGCGATGCGCCAGCCGATGGCCTCTGCCTCGTGTGGGCCATAGCCAGCGGGGGCGGGGGGCGGACTGGCAGGAGGCGTGCCAGGGGGCTGCAGCAGGTGGGCGAGGAGGGTGGGGAGGGATTTCATGAGGAAGGCCGCGAGGCGCGTTGAGGCCGCAGGGCCGCATTGACAGCCGCCATGGCTGCTGTGGGCACCTCATTGAGCACTGCCGTGGATTCGGGCAGCACGAGCGCACGCTCCTCTGGGGTGTCTGTGAGCATGAGGTCGATGTCAGCTCCGGCTCTCAGCAATGCACGGATGGTGGGCGGGTAGAAGGGAATCTCCTTCGCGTGGAAGTCCGTCCACTCGTTGTTCTGCAAGGCGGTGCGGTGCCTCTTGAAGGCTTTGGCGGCCAAAGCCAGGGGCGTCTCGTCGGGGTCGTCCTCGGTCCCTATGTCGACGCCCTCGTCGGTGAGATGGCGACACAGGGAAGTGACGATGTGGTGCGAGCCCATCAATGCTGCCCGATGCAGAGACGTCATGGTGCTCTGACTGTACTCGTCCACTTCCGCGACGTCGGCCCCGTTGGCCACCAGCAGGTCGATGTACTTGTTGAAAAAGGCCTGGGAGAAGGGGCTGTGCCGGTAGGCCGCAGAGTGCACTCTGCTGCCGCCGTCCTGAGCTGCGACTGTGTTGTCATGGTCGATGAGCCGCTGGTAGGTTGACAGCAGCCAGGCCTCGTGAGCCTCAGTCGGCCGGTCGGTCGGCAGCGTGCGGGGCACACCCAGCGCACTTCTCAGCTGCAGCCCGTCCTGACCCATCAGCAGGTTGACGGCCCTGTCGTTGCCCGATGCGATGGCGACCTCCATGGGCGTGGTGGGTATGCTGTGCCGGGGCGACTCCTCATCGTCATCCTCGCCCTCGTCATCTCCTCTGCCGTTGACGTTCGCACCTCCTTCGATGAGGGCACGCATGACAGCGTCTTGGAGGCCGCGGGTGGGCCACATCGGCATGGCGACGGGAGATTCGTCGACTAAGTTGCCCAACCCATTATCTGGCCCCTGTGCCAAGATGGACGGCACACCGTGGTCAGTCATGTTGTCGACGGCGAGGGCGAGAATGGAATAGACATGTTCCACCCCCAGGTCGGAGCCCCGCACCCGTGGATTCGCTAGCCAATTGGGGTCGGCTCCCCGCTGCCGGATCATCGTCGTCACCTGGCCTCCACTCGTGATGGTGCGATGGAAGACGGCCTTAGCGAGCCGCTTGGTCGCCCTGTTGGACTCAATGAAGACGCCACGGTCAACGAAGCGCTCGAGCATGTGCAGGCTGACGTCAGCTGGTCGGACCCAATCACGGGGAAGCCCTGTGCCACGCGAAGCTGATGAGCCCTCGGCCATGGTGCTGGGCGGCTTGCGTGTCACTCACTGCATGATACATACGGACACAGCGGCAAATCGGATCAATGAATGCCTTCTCTCCTTGCTTTCCTCTTCCCACCTGCACTACGATAACGCTACTCGTGCCGGTCCTCATCAGCCATCATGCCAGCTACCGCGACGACCGCAACGCCACTATCGTCTGGTACACAGCACAATGAATGCATCCAACGTGAGGGACAACGCGTTGCGTGCGAGGTGCATGGCATGGTCTCTCGTGAGTGTGCTCACCCGCCACAGGCAGATGGATCTGGACGGACCAAGAGCTACCGATCCCCAGGCAAACGCAACAGACGCGGCGCTTCTCTGCCGCTGCCGGCATTTGCCGCCGGAGGACCGTGGCCGACGGTGGGCTTTTCAAGGATGTGGCCTCTGCGTGGCCTCCACTACTGGTTCCCCTTCCCTGCCATGAGGTCAGCCTCACTCACGCGCAGAGGTGGTTTTTGTGCAACATGCCATGCCATCCCCTGTCCATCCGTTACACGAAACCCTCGCAACCCTGAGCCCGAAAGCCAAACCTGAATCCGTCAGCGAGGAGGTTGTGGAGGCCTGGTGGTGGAGGTCGGGTGAGTCCTGAAGCCTTTCGCTGCGAGGTGTGGCGCGAGAGGAGGGCACAGGAGGCTCAACTACTCACCCGTATCTTCTGGTACGCTCTGGGGAAGCGTGTGGGGATGGAACTGTCCCAGATCTCGGCGTCTGTATGTTCTGTGCCTGATGTCATGACATTGTGTGGCTGGCAGGGATGGACAACACCATTGGCTGCCTGCCCTACTTCGGTCACTCAGGCTCCTCAGGTCAGTCAACTCGTCAACAACACCTCCCGCCCCGCCAATGAACACACACAGATCTCTCTCCCCCTCTCTCTCTGTGGTCGCTGTCCGTGCGGTTGTGTGTGTTCAGGACTCTCCGAGTACGACCCCCTCTTGCCGCTCGAGGCCGGCCGGCCGCTGGATGAGGAAAGGGACACCATGGACGGCGGCGCGTGGCACCACATCAACACCACTACCACCAGCGCAGCCACGCCAGCGTCAGAGCAGCTGAGCCACCTGCTGCAGACCATCCAGGAGTGCAAGTGCACCACTGGCGGCGGCGCTGAGCTGCACCGCTTCGCTCACTGCTGTCTTCCCCAACAACAGCAGCCTGCAGAGTCAGGCTACGTGACTACGCGGAGCAGCGCGTCATCGGGAAGCGGCAGCAGCGATGAGGACCAGCTGAGGGACCTTCTCATGGTGGGCCAACACACAAACACTCACACACACACACTCACACTCGGACGATCTGTCTTGGTGCTGTTTGTTGTCGGATTCCCAGATGGGTTCGTCATTTCGTCACTGCGCCAAGGATGTGATGCTGAGCCTGCCGAGAGGGTGGGGCGAGGCCAGCTCGACGAGACGATCGGCCAGGTCTAGGGGGCGGCCCGCCAAGGTGGGACTGCGCAACAAGATCGGCACACCCATGGCCAGGGAGGACAAAGTGAAAGAGGTCAAGAGGGAGAAGCCTGCAAGTCGCTCGGAGGGACAGACACTAGCAGACGCCGCCGATGCAGCAGCTGCAGGTATGTCGGTCGGTGTGCACCGACCGACACTGATGTATTGTATCCATCTACACCTACACGCGATCCTTGTGTCCCTCCCTGTGTGTGTGGCTGTCAGTCCCTCCTCCGGCGCCCTGCACCCATCCCTGCGTGACCTTCACCACACGCGACCGGTCTCTCTACGGGCGGCCTCTCCGGCCCCCAAAAAGGTCCTACACACAAGGGCTTCCAGACGCAGATGAGACGCCGATGATCAAGCGCGCCAAGAGCGAGGAGTTCACCAGTCGTGAGCATCTGGGTTGGCTGCCGGAGCCGGATATGCCGCACCTGCCGATCCTGCGGCCTTGCATGACGCCCGAGACGACGCCCATGTTCGACGCGCTGCATATTGATGACAGCAGCTCGGTGGACCCCTATGAGCTGCAGAGCTCCATCGGCACCCCCGGGCCCATGCAGGTGGGCAGACCATCCACACAGTCTTGAAGAGATAATCCGGGGGAAAGGTGTCTCATCTGCGCGTGTGTGTCCGTGTGGATCTGCAGGGAGTTTTCCAGGAAGATGATGGCATGACGACATATGCCGCTGCTCCTCATGCTGCTGACTGTGCTGCGTCAGGGTGGCCAGGGTGGCCCCAGTATAATGACAGCTTCTGCGCCCACATGCCCGCCGTGTATGAGCACCCCTTCCCACTGCCGCTGCCAGTGCAGCAGCCAGCGATCGCCATAGGATCGCCATGCGAGCCCTTTCTATAAGTAGTGTCCGTCTGTCTGTCTGTCTGTCTCCCTGCCTGTCCGTCTCTCTGTCTGCTCGTGTGTGTGTGTGAGTTGGGGGGATGAGTGACGTGTGTTTCTGTCTGTGTGTGAACCGCCATCTCGCATCATCGATCGGGCTTTCCACGTGTGTGTGTGTGTGTCCGTCTCTCTCTCTCTCTCTCTCTCTGGCCTGTGTGCACCTTCTTCATGGCTGGCTTTTTTAGTCTGGGGAATGCAGTAAGGCTAGAGCCACTGAATCCAATGAAGAAATGGAACGAATGCGATGAATATACAGTACACTCTGTCTGTTTGCCTGTCCGTCTGTCTGTCTGTCTGTCTGCGTTTATGTCGGGGGAGGATTGTTATCTGAGTCTGAGATTCTGATAGACACACATACAAGACACATCCGTCACACTTTATATATTATATATGGGGTTAATCGAACAACCAAACAAGCGAACGCACAACGGTCCTCTTTTGGTCCTTTATTTCCGGTCCATGTGGGAGGGGAGGGATCCTTGTGTGTGTGTGTGTGTTGGGCTCGGGGCTGGGGGGTGGTGCTGGTCTGTCTGTCTGTCTCTCTCTCTCTCTCTCTCCCTCCACACACACAACATGACGCTCACCGGCTCTCTCAAGCAGTAGTTCGCTAATTGAGACGGACGGAGTAAGGACGACAAACACGCCGTCGGCCTATCTGTCGGCCTCTCTGGGCTGAGCTAAGCTGAGCTGAGCTATCCTGCGCTTTGTGCGAGAGAGTCTGAGAGTGACTATACCATTCCGCTTGGGGTGTTGCGGGCTGGCGGGTGAAATCGCTGTGTGTGTGCCGGGGATGGACTGAGTGCACGGTTTAATCGGACTGACACCTGACCTGGATACACTTTTGGATGGCAGCATAGCACAGAAGGGTCACACAAGACACCCAACAGAAAAATCAATCCGCCCACCGTTGCGGGCCGACAAACACGCACACACGCAGCGTGTTACAATCGAATCACACCTCTCTCTCGCTCTCTCGCGAGCCCACACACACACACATACACACAGACAGACAGGCTGTTTAGTCGATTGGGTGGTGCTGCTTGAGGCCTTCGAAGTCATAGAGGGACTGCAGGTCGAGGCCATTGCACCCCTGCACGCACACACACACACACACCACATCAATATGCGTGTGCGTCACCCACCGCCTGGCGCCCAGCCACCTGTATGTCTTCGAGTTTCTTCATGAAGGCCTGGCACACGTCGGGCGCCATGGCGATCTCACCCAGCATCAGAAACTGACACAGACACGCAACCGGCAGGTGTGTGTGTCTGTGTGGATGCGCCGCTCTCTCTCTCTCTCTGTGTATGTGTGTGTGTGTGTGTTGGCCTGCCTTGTGCTGGAGAATTCTGCTGAGGTCCGCCGAGCTATTTCGCGCGTGGCCGCTCGGAAACATCACCAAACCTGCACACAGACGCAGCCGCAGACAAGAGTGTGTCGACGTCTGTGTGTGTGCGTCAGGGTGCATACCGCTTGAGAGTTTGTCGTCTTGGTGGTGGATGTCGATTGACGTGGGTATGCCCTCGGGGTACTTGCTGTCGTACTCAGCGCCGCCGTGCTCGAAGACGATCTTGCTCATCAGCGACCTGCAGGCATCGCGCACAAATGCAGCTATTGGTTTTCTCTCTGTTTGTCTGTGAGTGTGTTGTGTGCGCCGTGCCCTGCCTGGTTTTGTTATGTGTGATGGCGTCTTTGCCGTAGTCATAAGGGCTCAGCATCAGAGAGCACCACGCCTGGACTCACACACATGACAGAAGGACACACACGTGCATCCCAACACGCATCGCATGGGCTGGCGCGGCGCACCTCGTCCATGCTGGTCGGCAGGCTGCCTTTCTCGATGGCCTTGCGCAGCATCGTCGACACGATGTACACCTGCACACACACACATGTGGCGGCCTGTGCGTCTAATTGCAACACCCACCCCCCCCCACCCCCCCCACACACACAGACCATTGAGTGGTCGGCCGACTGCCTTGTGCGGGGGTCTCGCTTGGCGGGGTCGCCTATGATGCCGAAGGCGGGCTCGTAGCTAAACCACAGCCACGCCCATACACACCCCCACCCACACACACAGATACACGCAGCCATGTGTGTGCCTTGCATGTTTGAGCTCCTCACGCGACGATTTTGATCTGTTTGATGGCCTCTGGGTTCTTGAGGATGGCGGGGTTGCTCACAAGCGACCGAATGAGACCCTACACACACGCATGGCACACAACAGACGTGTGTATGTGTATGCGTATGCGCGTGTGTGCGTTAGTGCCTCTAGTGCGCCGGCCGATTGGTGCTCGTAAAGGCCGAGCTTGAAGTGCATCCCCATGACGGCAAAGTCATCACCTGAACCCACCAGCACAACAAACGCGTACCTGTGTGTGTCTCTCTCTGTGGGTCGTTTCTCATAGACGGACCGCTGTGCGAGAGAATGAGGTTGAACGGCGAGTGGCCGTCGGGCTGCGGCTCAAACTACACACACGTCACACACACAAACACACATACAGGGGATGGGCTGAGCTCATGTGTGTGGACATCGGTACCCGCCACTCCCACCCATCTGAAGATGGCCTCAGGGTTGCGGAAGATGTCCTTGGGGCCGATGAAACCCTTCATCGCTGCACCCACACACACGCGAATGGTATCCCCATGCCGCTGCAGAGTGTGTGTGCACCGACCTCTCTTCATTGAGAGGACTGCCGCCTCAGTCGAGATGGCGGCACTCGCGCCCTTAGAGTCGCTGAGACACGGGGAGGTCTCTCTCAGAATCGCTGTCTCTGTCTGTGTCTGCGTGTGTGTGTGTGTGTACCTGAGCTGTTTGCCCGCCCGTATGGCGCGCCAGGGGATGTAGTGCGCCACAGTCATGCCGATGGCCGACTCGATCTGCTCGGCCGACGCACCTGCACACACTCGCACACACACAGGCAGAGTGAGAGAGACACCGCTCACAGAATCGTGTTGTGTGTACCGACCGAGCATTGCGCCGTAGACGGCTGCCGACGCAATGGCGCCGTGGACGACGTGGTCAATCTTGTAGGTCTTGAGGCTGAACACCTGAACACACACACACACACATATGCACACACACAATGTGCCAGCCACAGGCGTCCACCCCGCACCCACCCGACGCCACGCCGCTTGCATACCTCTGCAAGTCTGCCGCGTATCTCATCGAGGCATATCATGGCACGCAGCGCCTGCCTGCACACACCAACATAAACACGTGGACATGTCTGTGTGTGTGGATGGATGGATGGATGGATGGATGGTCTGCTCACTTGCCGTCGATCTGGGGGTTCATCTGCGCCGCGGCAATCACCACGGGGTAGAAGTCGTTGTGGCCGAACTCGCCCGCCTGACACACACGCACAACTATCTGCCCATGTCATGTTGCTATCGTGTCTGTCAGTCCACCTGGTGGCCTTTGATCTTCTCGTTATAGCCGAAGACGGTGCCATTGGAGTCCCACTCGCGAACCGCAGAGCTGTTGGCCGCTATTGCCTGACGGAAATGATGCAGGAAGGAGTGGAATAGAACGGAATCACTCACCACATGGACACACACACGCACCTTTTCTGGCGCGCATCGGACAGAGCTGCCGAACACACACGCCCCCTTGCTGATCGACCAGACACAGACACATCAGTCGCACCGATAGACAGACCCACATAGGGAATGGTGGATGCCCCAGAGCTCGGGCAGGGGGGGATTTCGCACCTGCTTCTGTACTCGTTGAGGGCCTCTTCCCTCAGCAATGTCGGCGCGTTGGTCTTCAGCGCCAAAGCCGACACTGCACACACACACACCACACACCACACACACTCTCCCTCTCTGTGGATGTGGTGTGTGTTTGTCTAAGTGTGGATGGGCTGAGTGCACACCGCACCTCCGCACATAACGCTGTCTGTGTGGAAGAGCTTCACGCGGTCGTACACCGACGGCGATATGTGATCGCCATACCTCAACAAACCACACCACCACACACACAGACAGACACGCTCTCAAATCAGAACACACATGCATCCGGCTCTTACTTGCCGCCGATGACGTCAATGGCGTACTGCCCAATGCCCAAGGCCTGGTTGCTGTCCCGCGGCAGAAACACCGACGTCGCATTGCCGCCGCCTGGAGATGAAGTCGACATCAGCCGCACCTGTGCAGACACCAGGGAATCATCTGCGCGCATTCTGCCTTTCTTTGCTGCCTGTGCTGCTGCTGCTACTGCTGCTACTGCTTGCAGATAGACCAGATCTGATGATCAGACGTTGCTTACACTGACGTAACAGCCTCTCTGCAGCAGCCCGGCGCTCCTCACAAACGAAGATCTCACAAGCAGCAACCGGCTCATCGAGCACAAGACGCTCACTCGCCCACCTGAAAAAGGCTCAGACTAGTCGTCGATCTGCACATCTGCGAGCTAATCTCGCAGCTCGCAAAGGAAACGAATGAAGCAGGCGGTCGTCTGGTGTGCTGGCGAGCGTCTGAGTGAGTGAATCTTCTCACAAGAAGCAGCGGCGAGCACATCTGCCTCTGCTCGCGACAGAGTCCGCCCAGCAGTCCCTCGCGTCACAAGCAGCCGAGCAGCGGCAAGCAGGCGGCGGGGAGCGACAAGCAACCAAGCAACACAGCCGGCGAGAGGTGTCGGCAGGACGATCGGCTGGTGTGAGTCAGTGGCTGAGTGATTGAGTGAGTGGTGATCATGCCGAAGGCTCAGAGCGAGGCCAAGGTGCCTCCCACGCGGAGATCGGAGGACCTCAACAAGGAGAGATTCACGTTCGTCATGTGCAGCCTTGTGGTGGGATGCCGCACACACCGCTGGCAGGGCGAGACAGACTCTTACCCCTCCCTCTCTCTCTCTCTGTCTGTGTGTGTGTGTGTTTGTGTGCTTGTGTGATCCATCAGGGTCACCGTGTGCAGGTGCAGATGAAGAGCAACACGGTGATTGAGGGCATCTTTGTGTCCTGCAACCCCCAAAGCGCCAGCGAGAAGGTGGGAGGGAGGCAGCCCTGGTTGGTGCACACTGTGGGAGTGTAGGACTTCACCCTTCACCCATGCTCGCCGTGTGTCCGCGTGTGTGGGGGCTGTGGTTGGCTCGCAGGAGTTTGGGATCCACCTTGAGCAGGCGCGGGAGCTGCCCTCTGCTGTAAGCCAACAGGACCACGCGTGATCAGACATATGAGCAAATGGTCAACCCCCCCTCTCTCCCTCTGTGTGTGTCTGTGCACAGCACCGTCCCAGCAGCGACATATTTCCCGAGGTCATGATTCCGGGAAAGGACTTCGTCGCGCTCACGGGTACCCATCCACGCCCACGCGCACAGATGTGTGTCTGTGGTTGTGACGCCTGGCACAAACAATCAACGTGTGTGGTGTGGTGCATGCAGCCCATGACGTCCCGACGACCTTCAGCGACCACGAGGCCAAGAAGAAAAAGATCGAGGGGTTCCTGACCGACACCGAAATCAGAGAGAGAAAGGGCAAACCGGGCGTCCACCGAGAGCTGGTCCCCTGGACAGCAGGTGCGAATCGGCCGGACTCGCACACACCTGTTGTGTCTTCTGTTCTGTGATGTCGTGTCCATGAGAGTGTGTGTGGGGTATGGTGATGGAATGGGTGCAGACGGGGACCATGCGCCGCCGCACGCCAAGCATGGCGTCTCCCTCACTCTTGAGGACGTGTAGGCATCCACCCACACATCCACAATGCTGGTATCTGGTGTGTACGAGTGTGGCATATGTGTGTGTGTGTGTGTGTGTGTGGCGGCGGGGGCTGCAGGAACCCCGTGCGCGCGGGCGAGCGGTGGGACCAGTTCACCGCCAACGAGAGGCTCTATGGCGTAAAGACCAGTTTCAAAGAAGAGTACGGAAGCAGTAGTGAGAGGGCAAGACCCTCTCTCACACACACGCACGCACACTCGTGTGTGCGTCGTTCGTATGTGTAGGCTCTACACCACCAAGCTGGACCTCCGGGAGGTGCCCGAGGAGGTGCAGAAGAAAGCCGAACTCCTCGCCAGAGAAATCGAAACCGTACGCTCTCTCCCTCTCTCTCTCTCTCCCGACTCACGCACCCTCACACACACACATCCACACGCACGTGTGCCTGCAATCGACTCCATGCTTGCATGCAGGGCGGCAACACCACGGCCGACCCCGAGCGCGCCGTCGAGGGTATTGACGACGAAGAACTCCAATTCTCTGCCGTCGCCGGTCAGTTGTGTGAACCACACGAACCACACAACACCCTCCCCCCCTCTCCACACGCACACACACACTGACACTGACACATCCATCCCTTCACACACAGGTACGGGTGGCTACGCGACGGATGCGTCTGGCAATCCCCGCGGCCCGCGTGGCCGCGGCCAGCCGCCTGGCGAGAGGGGGGCGCTGGGCATGGGGCGGGGCGAGCCGAGGGGAAGGGGCAAGGTGAGTTGAGTGGATGGATGGATGGATGTGGTGTGTGTGGTGTGTGTGGCTGGATCCATCCGTCCGTCAGGCTGGTGCGAAGGCCAACGGGCCAGCAAGGGGAATGTCGGGGCCTGCAGGTGATCACAACACACGCCGCTGTCACTGTGTACGTGTACGCCTTACCTGTGTGTGTGTGTGTGTGTGTGTGTAGATGCGGCGGCGCTTGAGCGTGCTGCCAGGGAGGAGGAAGAGCGCGCAGCCGCTGCCAGACGGGGTACTAAGATACCAACACCACTACCCACACAAGCAATCACACCGTGTTTTGTGCTTTGGCCTGTGTCTTCCTGTGTGTGCAGGGGAGTCTGAGGCTTTGCAGGGCGGGGTGCAGCCTGATTTCACTGGTATGCGCGACGACACCCATCCATCCATTCATTCGTCCACAGAATCCTTTTGTGGACCTGTGTGTGGCTGTGCGTGTGTCCATGTGTGTGTGTGTGTGTCATCAGGGAGCTACCGCAAGGCCCGCGGTATGCTGGTGGCCAGCCCCAACAGAGCACCCATCGGCACCGGAGAGATGAAGGTACCCACCCACACATAGCAGAGAGACATGTGTGTGTGAGTGTCTGTGTGTGTCGGTGGCGCAGGGCATCAACGCGTTGAATTTGGAGCCCGCGCTGCCCAAGCTGGATGACATCACACGGAACGAGTGGATTCAGTTCAAGCAGAACCAGACCAGGGTAAATCCTCACCCCCCCAACACATGCCCACACACACCCACACGCACACACAAATGCATTCTAGCTCCCCTCTCTGCGTGTGTGTTGTGCCTGTCTGGTAGGCTGCCCGCGGAGCCACGCTGCCGGCCGATCGCAACAACGAGAAGAAAGAGTTCTTCAACTCGCTGGGACAGATCGACGCGCGACTCCAGTAGGCACCGCACACACACACACATCACTCTCCCCTCCCATATACACACACAGCTGCATCGCTCCCACTATGTGTGGTGTGCCCAGAAGTCTCTCCAAGGGGAGCAAGGCCGAACCGACGCCTCGATCAGCGGCACCCAGAGAGCCGCCAAGACGACCTCCGCCCAACCAACTCAACGGGTGCACACACACACCCATCCCTCCCACACACCCCCAACACCCACACCCACACCCACACACCCATACACAACCACACCCACGCGCATGCAATCTTCTGTGTGCATCCATCGATCAGGCCGCCCAACGTTTCTGCTCACGGTGTGGGGATTTTGGGGTCGGGCCCCGACGACCCGCAGAGCGCGTCATACCTGCAGGCGGGGGCGGCCGGTGCAGGTGGCGTGGGCGGGGTGACCATGACACCCGCCCGCCACACCAAGGCGTCGACCAACATGGGAGTGCCGCCCTCACCGCTGCCTGGTGCGTCTTCGTGCGTGTGGGTGTGGGTGTGGGTGTAGATGAAGACATCTCTTTCTCTCTCTCTCTCTCTTTCTGTGTGTGTGTGTGTGTGTGTGAAGGTGCTATGCGCAACCCCCCTGGCGAGACGCCCGAGGGGCAGGAGGGCCTGCTGGCTGCTCCTGAGAGCGGTGAGAGTGTCCACATGCGGCAAGACACGGGCAGAGACACACACAAATTGACGCACGTCTCTCCTTTGTGTGTGTGTGTGTGTGTGTGTGATTGTAGTGAACGCGACGATATCTCCGATGTTGAGTGTGGCCCTCAACCAGATGAGGGACCAGGCTGTGGTGCAGCAGGTGGGCGGTGCTCAGGTATGCTCCCCCACCCACCACCCACGTGTCTTCACACCTGGGCAACTGGTTTTGTGTGTTGGTGCGTGTGTGCGTGTGCAGATTCACGCGTTCCCTGACGCTGCTGCTGCTGCTGCTGCTGCTGCCGCGGCTGCTGCCGCTGCTGCCGCAAGTGGTCCGGCATCGCCCGACGCACCATTGCTCACACACCCGCCAAGTGCACAGGTACGAAGCGGACACTTTTACACACACACACCCACACACACGGACACATTGTGTGTTTTTGTGTGTGTGCACAGGCACAGCCACAGGGGGTGACGCTGCACCACCAGCTGACCAAGGTACGTACGTGCCGACGTGCCGATGCAGCTCTCCTTCTCCTCCTTCTGTGTCGATGTGTCCATGTGTCTCTGTCTCTCTCTTGCCCTCCTCTCCCGATTGGATTGCAGCAAGACTCATCCAGTGCGTTCAAGTTCAACCCCAACGCCAACGCCTTCACGCCCACGAACCACGCGGGCAACCCGATGCAGCAACAGGGTCAGTGGTGCACACAACACACAAACACACACACACGGGGGGGCTTGTAAATGCTCATCGATGGTGTGTGTCTTGTGTGTGGGTGTGTGGGTGTGTGCAGGGAGGGGTTCGTCGGACAGTTTGGCTGCCGCTGCGGCCTTCGAGGGGGTGCCGGCAGCTGCTGCTGGTACACACACACACGCACACACACACACATGGAGCCAAGCAACACACATTCACTATCTCTCCCTCTGTGTGCGGTGTGTTGTGCAGGCGGGCCGCCGCCCATGGCGGCTCAGCCGGGCGACCTGCAGCCAGCACAGACAGCCGCCATGATACAACAGGTGGGTGGCTTCTTGCGTCATGTACTTGCACCTGTGCGCCTACACGTCTGCTCGTATGTGTGTGTGTGTGTGTGGATGGGTCAATCAGTGGTTGGCACAAACGGGCGGCGGGGCGGTGGGGATGCCACCGGGCGGCATTCCACACCCAAATATATTCCAACTCGCTCAGGTACAGACTCACACACACACACACAGAGAGAGAGAGAGCTTTCATATGTGTATGTCTGCGTGTGTGCAGATCTTGAACCCCGCAGGCATCCCGATGCCGCAAGCCCCGCAGGGGCCACCGCCCAACCTGCCACCCAAACCCGAGAGATACGAGAGCCTCATTGAGGTATGCACGCACGTGTGGATTGCTGCAGACACGCCCACAGACGTGTGTGTGTCTTCGTGTGTGTGTAA